GTGTGTGTGTGTGTGTGCGTTCGCGTCTTCATCAGAGGCACAGGGGGTTGGCCCGACTGTACTGTGCACGCCCCTTTTGTTTTGCGTTGCACGATACCGCGCCAGCCAGTTGCTCACCCCACCATTCTCCTTTATTTACTCCAGGCGCTGCGGCGCAAAGCGCGATCGCACGAGCTCAAGCGGGATGCGCGCCGGCGCAAGAACGCGGGCATTGGCGGCATGCCCATCAACCCCGTGGAGCTCAAGAAGCTGCACAACAAGCGGCGCGAGCACAACCGGAAGCTCAACCTCATGGACGAATAGCCCCTTCCTTGGCGCTGTGTGTGTGTGTGTGCGTGTGCGTGTTGTGTTCTGTTCTGTTTGTCGCAGAACGACTTGTAAACAAACACCAACAGTGTTGTCAACACCGACACGCGGTCACACACACACACACACACACACACACACACACACACACACACACACACACACACACTCCACTCGATTTTTGGCAACGAGTCGCGCCTGGCCTCCCTTTCTGCTTTCATGATTCCCAGACTTAACTCAAGGCATATGCGAAGAGCAAGGGTGCGTGCAGGCGAGCAAGCAGACGAAACACACACACACACACACACACACACACACACACACACACACACACACACACACACCAAACATTCGTGTTTGGGGTTGAAGTGACGATGATGGTTGCGGAGGAGGAGGTGGTGGTGCTTGCTGCTGCTGCTGCTGTTGCTGCTGTTGCTGTTGTTGTTGTTGTTGTTGTTGTTGTTGTTGTTGTTGCTGCTGCTGTTGTTGTTGTTGTTGTTGTTGTTGTTGTTGTTGTTGTTGTTGTTGTTGTTGTTGTTGTTGTTGTTGTTGTTGTTGTTGTTGTTGTTGTTGTTGTTGTTGCTGCTGTTGTTGTTGTCGCCGCTCACGCTGCAGTGCGCTGCCAGGGTCGAAGATCCAGCTCGTGCCTGGAACAGGACCGGCGAGGGCGCGGTCGTTGCGGTCACTGACGGTGCACACGCGCGGATCCGGGCCCTGAACTGCGAGGGCAAAGCAGTAGCGCCGACCCCGCTTGATCTTGCGATGACTGTGCATGTCTTGACCGTCGTTGGGGTCATACAGGGAGTCTCTGTTGCTGTTGTAGTTCCTGTCAATGCATGATTCATCGAGATACACCTACAGGCAATTGAGCCACGTGAGACACGAAAAGGGAACATTGCACATGCGAAGAAACATCGACAACACAGCAGCATGGGCACATGTGCATGCACACACACACACACACACACACACACACACACACACACGCAGAGCCAGCGGTTTGTTCGCGTCATTGGCACTTGCGCATATGTTTGTTCGGACATAACTCTGCATGTTTGTGCGTGTATCACCTGCGAGCACATGTGCGTGTTCCTGTTTCAGCGACTCATCCGCGCACGAAACATGATGGAACTGGGGCAGATTTGTGACGCAGAAATTGTCGCGTTGCTTGCGCTGACAAACAAGTGTTCAAGCCCGCGACCGGATCACATGCGGTGAGGTTGCACAGGCTGTAGACATGGCGTTCCCTGATGTGTGCCCATGCCTCGCTCGCACACGTGGAGCTGAACCCCCTCGATGGCTCTATGCATGATGTCGATAAGCCGCTCGATTCACGGATGCCCTTGCGCTCTTTCCTTTTTTTTCTTGCCACCTCTTGTCAGCGCTATATCAACAGAAAGAGTCGCAGGGCCTTAGACACACGCTGCTCATGTTATATGAGCGGGGAGAGCAGATCTGAGACAAACAGCATCCTGGTGTATGAGTTGACCACAGCAGGTACATCTCCTCAACTCACATCTATGCCGTGCTCTCGCAACAGCTTGTTGAGCATTGCATACTTCCGACGCACAGTGCTGAGGCCAACCCTGTGTTGTTCCAGACCGAGGTAAACGAGTGAAGTGGGGTCGGCCATGCGAATGAATCATGTCACAGTTGACACATGCAAACACGTCAGCTTGCACACTAACAAAAGAGTGTCAACATACCCCAACTGCTTAGCAGCACGTTCATCGACCTGGCCATTCGAGCGCTTGCCCTTGGACTTCCTCCGGTTCTCCAAGTGTGCCAATTTCAACTGCATGTACACATGCAAAACCAGAAGCGTTTCCTTCTCTGTCAGGGTTCCCTGACCCCTCATGTTCCTCAGGCAAGCACATATCTCCACGATCTCCTGAGGAGTCAGGTGCTTCTTGGTTACCGGCTTGGGCATGTCTTGTCGTGCCCGCTTTGGTGAGTTGGTGGCAGCTCGCCTTCATCCTTTCATCGTCGTCGCTCAACACCTCGAAATTAGGCAAAAACATCATCGCCCATCGTGGATGATGGTGGTTGAAATTTCCTTTATTTTGCCGACGATTTGCACGAAAGATGCAACTTGACAGCGGTTGCTTGGGGCGTGTGCGTCACCCTTGCACCCCAAACCAGCGCAGATGCATGTGCAAGGCCGGCGTGGTGCTGCCGGGCAGCCTGCACACGA